GAGAGAGAGAGAGAGAGAGCACTGGGCGAAGGGAGTCGATTCGAACTAGATTAAAAGCACTCGTTAACATGTAACGGCGTTTTCCAACGTTGCGAGTTACCGATTGCGGTGATCATTTGTTAAACTCTTTTTTTCCACCCCTCTCACCCCCCTTTTTTTTAAATGATTACTGACATATAAGAAATCGATTTCAAGGAACTTGAGACTAGGGAAAAAAATCATTTTTTATCTCTTTTTAAACAATTTCTATTTTGTTAAATTAACGATTTAATTTATTTGTAATATTGATAACATTACAAAAAAAAATTGATGAAAATTGAACAAAATATTCACTGAAAAATAGAATTTTTTTTTATAAGTCTGATTAAATATTTACTTGTACTACTTGTAAATAGACGAAAGGCAAACCGAATATTGACTTGTACTACTGGAAAATGACATAAATTAGATGGTCTGACTAAAACTGACTAGTACCACTCATAAAATTACATAAATCACAGTCTGACTAAATATTTACTTGTACTACTGGTAAATGGACAAAATTTTAGAATGTCTGACTAAATATTGAATGTACTACTGATTTTTTAGTTTAGTAATTATGTCTGACTGAAACCGTTACGATTTACTACTAAGACAAAAAAAGTCTGACTAAACGATTACTTGTACTACTTATAAAATTATAAAAATTTTAAAAAGTCTGACTAAATATTTATTTATACTACTGATTTTCTAATTACGTAGTTATGGTTAACTAAAGCCAACTTTTACTATTACTAAAATTAGAAGTATTTAATACTTTACTAATAAAATTTACTAATAATTTACTAATGAAACTACAAAAAAATGAATGTCTGATTAAATATTTACTTATACTACTGATTTTCCACTTTTGTAATTGTGTCTGATTAAAACTGTTTTTCACTACTTATAAAATTTTAAAAATTGTAAATAGTCAAAGTGCACATTGACTTGTACTACTAGTAAAATTAAAATAATTTAAAGTTTGACTAAACGTTGACTTGTACTACTAATTTTCTAATTTAGTTATTATGTCTGACTAAAACCGATTTGATCTACTAAAAAAAATTTGATATACAGTCGAAGTGAAGATTGACCTGTACTACTTATTTATCAATTTATAGTAATTAAATCTGACAAAAACCTTGTAAAATTACAAAAAATAAAAATTAAATAATTTCTTTACCAAAGCTGCCAAAATTATACAATTTTTTTGTTCTAACACATAGTTACTATTTAAAAAAGTATGCACATTTTTTTGCCAAATTGTCATTAATAAATAAAATAATTTTTAATTCTGAAAAATAGAATTCACTTTATAATTTTTTAATAAGAATATAAAAGTTTTAAAAATAAATCCACAAAATGCAATTCAATTTTAATTTAATTACAAAAGATTTTAATATATATATATATATATATATATAAAGCTTATTATATAATTTAACTCTATATTATTATATTAACCGTAATTGATGCTAATTAAGTTTTGTTGCATAAAAAAAAAAGAATTTCATTATATAAAATATTAGAGTTTTATTAAATTAAAATTTTAATTTAATTCAATATGCAAACTCTCCTTTTTTTTCCCCGTGTGTAATATGAAAAGTGATGTATACATGAATGAATGATATAATTTTTGAAAAATAGTTGAGTTTCATTTGACTTTAATTGGTCGTTGCATGCATGCATAAAAGTTGTGTTGGTGATAGTGGTTTGTGTGTGGTATGAAGATGAAGAAGTTGGCGAACGAGGGAGAGTGCTATTGGATTTTCTGCAGTAATTTTCTGCAGCTTCGTCCCAAGAAATGTTTATTCATAAAGCGGCTCGAATGTGCCGAGTATACGATTGTCCTATAACTGTATTCGTCCCACGATATGACCTTTTTTTTCATATCATTCTAATCTCACGATAATAAGGGTAACTTTTATTCCGTAGCTTGTTTAAATTGCTATTATTTCGCTCAAACCCCCCCCCCACCCCCCCTCCCCTTCACCCCACATAGAAAACACGGTCTTCAAAGATACATTATCGTTTACATTTCCTTGAAAAATATTTCTTATAAGCGCGGTAAAAATATATTTTTTACACGGTGAAAAAAAGAGAGAATTTTTGAAAAAAAATTTTCAATTTCCCAATTAATTGACAATTCTTTTTTAAATTGAAAATAGTACTTTGGGATAGACCCCAAAAATGTTTTTTTTTTCAGTAGAAAAAAGAAAAAAATTATTTAACTTTTCTTTATTCGTTTCACACTTTTAGTTTTAATTAAATAGGGAAATTTCCTTTTTTTGTCTGAAATCGGAATGTATTGGAAAAATATCTTCAGTTTTTAATTATCGAACTCAATATAGGGAATTAATTATCAATAAAAAGAGATTATATCGTTTCCGATGGTAATTAAAAAAAAAAAAAGATGATTATTTGCTGAAATTAAATAGTTAATTGAAAAGCTTTTGTGTGAAAATTATTATATATTTTTTTTTTCAAGTGACAGGGTGAAATCAATTTTTTTTTTTAAATTTTATAATGCGAGAAGACTTGGGATTTTTTTTTCTTTATAGAATGTAATTGAGTGTCTCTTATTGAAAAATTTTGTTTTTCCCATTGAGTTTTTTTTTATACTCAATATAGCTAATTAATTTGTGGTTAATGAATTTGTATACGGTTTTGAAAGTAAATATTAATTAGAATCTCAATTTTGTTTTTTTTTTTTTTATTTCATAATTGTATAATCTTATATACTCAATGGGTTGGAAATTTGTTGATGCCGTGGCCTTTCATCCCTTTTCAGAACTCACATTTTTTTTTTTTTTCACTTTTGAACTTCCCTTGGCTTTATTTAAGAATTCCACCCTACTCGACTGCCTCGTTTCTGGTTGTTATCTTTTGTCCGGGAGAAAGAGAGAAAAGAATGAGAGTGGAACTAGCGAAGCGAGAGAAAGAAAAAAATTGAGAGAGAGAAAGAGAGAGAGAGAGAGAGAGAGAGAGAGATGGTATGAGACACTCCCGGGGATTTATCATTGAACTAGTACGCTACAACGGACGCGATATTAAATTAAGTTTTGTGCGACTTACGGTTTTAAGTTATTGCACAAAATTGAAAAGAAAACTTGATTCTTTGTCGGTACAACCGAGAAAAGATGAAGAAATGATTAATTTCACATTTATAGGAAAATATTTATTTCCTCACAAATATTTATTTACACTTCGATTACTTTATACGAATCTTTTGAATATATTTTTTTTTCAAATTAATTTCATTTCTTGATTTTGAATAATTTTCAAATTAAATAATTTCATTTATTTTTTAACTTTTGTAAAATTAATATTAATGAAATTATGTCTAAAGCGAAATTATTTAATTTTCTTATAAAAAAAAAATTTATTAATTATGAAGAAAAATTTGTGTTATTATGGAAAAATTAATTTAAAAAATTTTCTACTATATATATATATATGTGGAGAGACGAATAATTATACTTAAACAAATAAACTCGTGTTGAGTTTAACCGTGCAGAATTAACGGCATAGAATTTTCTTGCTCTTCACGATTTATACTAGACCGTAGTAATTGCATTACGAATTCCACATTTCCAGATGCGATGCATCGCTTTTTATGAAGATTTTACGTCCGAAAATAAAACATCACAAATGAACAAGAAGTAAATATAACTTTTCTTTTCTCGTGGAGGTTTTCCCTTCCCCCCCCCCATTTTTTTTATTAATACATCCGTGTAATTATTTTACATGAAAATTTAAAATTCTAATTATACATTTTTTTTCTATTTGTAAAATTGAGTTTTAAGTAATTTTTCATTGGGGTTTTTTTCAATTTATTAATTTTTTTTAATAATATTTTTTGTAACTATTTTTGTGATAAGATTTATGTATTTTAAAAAAAAAAAAATAAAGTTTGGACTGTTTTTTTTATTGGAACATATGATTTTAATATCTGTTTTATACTAACAGAGATTTTGTATTTAAAAGAGATCCTCTTTGTGAAGATTACAACATGACTTTAGTGCTATAACGATAATATTCACTGGGAATCCCAGCACGAGTGCAATAATTACGAAAGCAAATATTTGATCCCAACACGCTATACGTGTCTGTTCTTACATCGAAAATGAAGGGCCTGCTTGTGCATAGTTTAGATGCAAGCAAGCACTATCTCAATATTGTTGAATTAAAGAGAAGAAAATTTTTTTTTTTTTTTTCCCTTTTCTATTTTTTTTCTTTTTTTTTTTGCTTTTATTTGATTATTGGCAATATTTTGATTTAAAAATAATTAATTAATAAATTATAAATAAAAAAAATAAATGTAAAATTATAAATAATAAAAAAATATAAAAATTAATAAGTAATAAATAAAATTAATTTAAAAAAGAAAATTTATTTTTTTTTAAATTTTAGCCCTCATTCCATTATTAAAAAGTGATTTTTTGTTTGTAAAAATCTTGTTTTTAAATTGCATTATTTATCAACGGAATTTTTTAACAATTCTTTTTATCACCCACCATCCTTATCACCAATGTGTGTCAACAATATTTTAACTTTTATTTATTTTTTGAATTTTTATCATATTTTTAATGGCCTTTTAGCCGTTGACTGCAATAAATAAATAACGCTGTCGTTTTTTTTTTTTTCCTCGAACGAGCATTTACATACAAAATAAATTTTTCTATTTTTACGAGATATGAACAATGTACGAATAATACACAAAAGTGGTTTTTTCATCTTAAGGAAACTTTCTTTTTTTTTTTTTTTTTTTGCAAAATATTAGCAAAAAATAATCTAAGATTACTATAATCATATTTTTTTTCCAATTTTGTTTTAAATTACAAATTCCATGGAAATAGAAACACATTTCTTTTTTTTACCCTTCAAAAAACTATTTAGGAAAGTTTCTCTAAATTAAAAAAAAAAAAAAAAAAAAAAAAAGACTTTTGATAGCACAAAATAAAAAATGCAAAACTTACCTTTATTATTTCAGAAGACAGCATAACTATTTTTTTGGATTATTATTTTCTTGATAGTGGAAATGCTCCAATCTTCATTAGAATTTTTGCGGCAAATATGAAACAATTTAGAAAAAAAAGTCATTTATTGAAAATATGATTATTAATTTTTGCACGACTGAGAAAAAAAAAATAAATAAAATATGAATGTTATAATAATAAGAATACAAGAGATTTAATATATATATATATAAAAATATATGTGTGCACTCTTGCGCGAGAAAAAAAATTTTTTTTTTGTCTACCTCGTGGGTGCGTTTCTCAACGAATCGTTTCTGATGGTACCCAGGCGGACAAACATCGGAATAGAACTGCGATACGTTGGACTATCGTGCTTTCACCTCCCCCCTCTCAAACATTCCCTTTTCCGCGTTTAAAACGCATGCGTCATTTTGAAACACCGAAATCCTCCCCCTCTCTCTCTCTCTCTCTCGTATACGTTCCATGTGGATCGTGATTCCCGCCCCCTTTTCACGTATACTTATTCACCTATTCCACTAGTATCAGTTGAATTTTCATTTTCTTATTCCCCCCTCGGAATTTTTTTTCAAAAATTTAATTTTTTTTTCTTTTGTTATAATTATGAGAGCAGATTAGCTTGGTACATATAAATGAATGGGAAAAACTTTTTAAATGATCTTTTTCTTCCTTATACTTTGATGAAAATTTTTTTTATTTTTTTTATTAGGAATAATTAATTATTAAAAATTATTTTTATAGGAGAGTATATTAGGAAAAATGGGGAAAAAAAGTTTTAAATGGAAAAAAAATTGCCCGAATAATGATTTAGAAAGAAAAGTAGAGAAAAAAAATTTATTTAAAAAAAAAAAAAGTCTGATATTAAATTTATAACCCTTTGAGGGGCGATTTATAAAAATGGAAATTTTTCTACTCAAGGGATTGGAGTACCCTTTTTTTTTTTAGTGACATTTCCTCCAGTGATACTGTGAATTAAAATTGAATACTATTCATTTTCTTACTTGATATTTATTTATTATTTAAATTAACCATTTTTTAAAAATTCTATTCCAATGGCAAAAAAAGGGGAAATTTTTTTTTGTTGAAATTTTTATGACTGGAGAAAGAATTTTTTTTTTACCAAGAAGTGACCACAGTTTGAAAAAAAAAAAGTAAGAAGAGATAACGACCAATTTCAAAAGCAACTATATAACGAGACATCACGAAAGTGACATTAGTTCTGATACGGACTTTGTATGGTTAGGAGCGTTAAAAGAGAGAAAGAGAGAGAGACCTGGACTTGAAATACCTTCCGATCGTGCGGAAATCTCGCCAGGCGGGAATTCGGTCGACGATCCCTCAAACGAAACGGCGCGGGGGGTTTGGTGTGTTTCAAGCGCTTGCGCCACGAACGTCTCTAAAAACAAGAGGGGGTTGAAAAGGGGGGTATAGGGGTAACTCAGTCAAGCCGCAGCGCGCGTTCTGTAAACTTCCTTCTCACGCGAATTCACATCCCCTTGCGGCTACTTTTTAATTCCTTACAAAAAAAATTAATAATTTTTCTAATTGGAAAAATTTTATTTCCCCGACAAAAAAAATGTGTTGTGCTATTCTCATGGATAAATAAAAAAATTTTTTTTTAAAATTGTGATAAGTGAATTAAAAAAAAGTTTTTGACATTTCATGTTTAATGAAACTATATCATTTGATATTTTTTCTTGACTAGTCATTCGAGGGCAATTTATAAAACGGGCTTTAAAGGAGGATTTTGCTTTGAGTACCTGAAAAACCCCTCTCTTCATCCCCCACACACACCCCTCTCTCTCTCTCTCTCTTTTCGTAAAAGGGAAAAGAAAGTGTGAAAACTGGGTACGTGCAAAAAAGGGATTTTACGTCGACGTTGAGCTTCTGCCAGAAGGGGCATTATCACAGGACGCGCGCCATTAGCCGCGTGCAAAAAAGAAAACTGCTACGTGAAGCGGAAAATGAAAAATTTCCCCTGGCGAAAGCCACGGGAAAACAGGAAGAGACTATTAAAGTCATCTTTGTCCCGTGGAGAACATAACACAAATCGGAAGTAAAAGAAAAAAAAAAAAAAACACAAATTTTACAACTCATATCACGCAAAAATATGGAATGGTCGTGGAATCATAGGAAAAAAGAGGCAAGATAATCCCAAGAGAGAAAAAAAAATCATTTTTTCGTCCTTGAGAAAAATAAAAATAGAATTTAAAAAAAAATGATCTCAGTAAAAATTTGCCCATTTAGAAATTTTTACTAATTGATAATCCCTCCTATATATATAAAAAAAAATACCTTGATTGTAAATAAATGCACAAAATATTTTTTTATTCCGCTCAATCCGAGTTTAGAAGGTAACAAAAAAAAATATATATAGGAAAAATACTAAGTAAAAATAAAATATTGAATATAAAAATAAATACTGAACATTGGTGGAAAAAATACTCTAATTTTTCTTCAGTGAAATTTTTTTTTGCAAGATTGCTGATTTTCCTGAATGAAGAAAATGTATCGTCAGTGGTAAATTATTATGTCATTGACAGGAGGTGATTTTTTTTATGTCATAGGTAGCATTCTGCGACGGTGGTATATTTGAGTGCAGTGTGACGGGTGACGAAGGAAAGGCGGGAAAAAGAGTCAATATGACTCCTATTTTCCTTGTCCTGTTGGTGGCAATCGACCCAATTATCGCGCAAAATGGTGGTGAGTAAAAAAATATCAAGAAAAAAAAAAAAAATTTTTTTTTAGTGTTTAAAAAAAAAAGGAAGACTTTCATCATTGGCACTTTTGTGGAACTCTAATATGAACTTGTATGATGATGATGTGAATAAGTTCACAAACTAACACACGTGACTGTGGGAATACTGAACTCTACTCTCTCTTCCCTTTGGTCGTTGTTGTGAGCGCGTCTGTGTAAAGTTTTAGAATAGTTAAACTTGATCAAACACCTGTGCTTTACGCTCGTTATATAGGCGTTTATTTTAGAAAGCAATTTATAGGTTTTTTTATTTTGTTTGTCACTTTCAAAGATTTAACGAATTTTTTGAAAGTGTTTTATTAAATGCTCCTATTGTTGAAAATGATCGACCTTCGAGGGGGTTAGTGAAGTTTGCGTGACTATAACTCGTGTCTAAGTTAAGTAGACAGGAACTTCTCGTATTCCTGATGTCGTTGCATAATGCAAAAAATCGTGAATAGCAAATTTTACAATTCAACATTTGTCGTAACGCTTTTTTTTGTTTTTTTTTGGTAAGTTTCCTTTTTGCGAACTTTTTTTCTGTAAATAACTTTTTAAATAACATTTTGGAAAAGTGTGAAAAATTTTGAAATTTTGCAAAAAGTTTTTTTTACATATTTTTTTTAATAGGTTTTTTTGAAATTGTAAAAAATCGAAATGCACATTGACTTGTACTACTAATAAAATTAAAATAATTTAAAGTTTGACTAAACGTTGACTTGTACTACTAATTTTCTAATTTAGTTATTATGTCTTACTAAAACCGATTTGATGTACTAAAAAAAATTTGAAAATTTTATACAGTCGAAGTGAATATTGACCTGTACTACTTATTTTTCAATTTAGTAATTAAATCTAACAAAAAGGTTTTTTTGACATATTTTTTTTAATAGGTTTTTTAAAATTGTTTTTTTTTTTGCAAATAACGTTACTTAATTACAATGGAAATATGAAAATTATATGTCATTTGGTTTTACAATGTGCTCGGAGTACTAATTACATTGTTAATCAATCACTCGGTTATTGCAAACCATCAATCAATCAGAAAACACAAAGTAAATGGACAACGCGAATAGTAGATATTAATTAGTTGTCAACTAAACTATCAACAAAAATAATTTTTTATTTATTTTTTATGTATTTTTATAAAAATTATTTTTTCACTAAAAAAAAAAAAAAATGTTAATTAGTAACGACTATATAGATATAAAAATATAATTCTCAAACTTTTAGTTCTTTTTCTCTCTAATTAAAATATAATTTGCTCTATATAACTGAATTTGTTGATAAATTAATTTTTAATTATAGTCTACTTGAACTTTTTCGTTATTATTAATTTATAAAAAAAAAAAAAAAAAAAAAAAATTTATTATACCAGACGAATAATTGATTAGTTTTACGAAAAAGAAAATTAAAAAAGTAATATGCGACATTTTATTTCTATATAGAGAAAATCAATTAATTGTTGATTAATAATTAAAATTCAGCCGATTCATATGATTAATTTTTATTTTTTACCGATAATAATCATTGATAAAATTTTACTGATACCTTTTGATATCGATTTTTTAATTAATTATGATAAAATAAAAAGGTATTTTATTGGAAAATTCTATTTTAGAAGTAAAAATAAAATATTTTATGTTTGACAGAGAAAATTTGAATTCAATTTTTTAATTAGAAATTCAAGATAGTATTTATTTTTATAAATTTTTTGTCATTTTTCACTAAAACTTTAGTAAAAAAAAAACGTATTACAAAATAGTAATAATTTTTTTAAAAAATTAGTGAAAATTTCTACTAATTTTAGTTATTTTTTATTACAAAAGTAAAAAAAAAATAGTATTACTTAATCAGATAGGAATATTGTACTAAAAATTAGTAAAAATTGCTAATAATTTAAATTAGTGAAAATTTCTGCTAATATTAGTTATTTTTCACTTAAACTTTAGTAAAAAAAAAATTACTATGAAATAAATAAATTATTATTAAATAAAAATATTTATTATTACAAAATAACTATTTTCAAAGAGAGGAAATAATTTTTTTTATTACCTAACTAATTTATATTCAAACAAATAATATTTTTTTAATATAAAAGTACATTTATAACATAAAACTGGTGTAATATTAAACAAATGAGAAATTTTTAAAATATTTCACTTTAAACATAAATTAAATATTTCGAATTAATATACGAATTACAATTACGAGAATAATAACAAGAAATTCCTTGACAGAAAATGAGCACAAAAAACGACAAATGTTTGAATTTCCAACGTTAGAGAATTTTCGTTAATTTTATATTTTATTTATAAAAGTATTCTAAAGAATTTAGTAGGTAAAAAAAAAAGATTCAAGATATCGCGAACTGTAAAAAAAAGAGGGGGTTTGTTTCGCGTGAAAAGTATTATTCTTAAGATTGTAAGTGGGAGGAGGGGGGGGGGGGGTTAAGAAAAAAGTTGGAATAGAAAATTTGAGGTGGTTCGATGTAATGAAACAACGGAAAGCTCTTGGAGCGTTCGCGTAGAAACTCGTACGTGCGGCGCCATCCTGTACAAGCTTTTGTTCAAGCTTTAAAAGCTCCGGCATAGCAAAACCCTACCCCCCCCCCCGAGTGTAGAGCACACGGACATCCTCCCCCTCTCTTTTCCCTAATGGAACGGGAAAATTTGTAAGCTAACGCGGCGTGAATGACGATATATATATATATATTGAGGCACAACAAAGCTCAAAAAGCTTACGCTATATTATACGATGTGCCAATATGTGTGTGTATATATATATATAATACTCGAAAATTGACCGATAAAGATTTCACACGATTTTACATCGAAAATACATACCTTATATATATATATAGTGAGATATTTGGTAATTTTATTGATTAATATTGATAAACATAATGTCGTCAAAACTATATAGACATTTCCCTCCGTTAAATATTAAAGAGAGAGTAGTGTGTGGTTAAGTTAGGTCACGATTTTAAAGCTCAATTATACGTGTGGGCTTTAGAAACTATATTTTGCTATGTGCCGGAGGCTCTCCGGTATCTAGTGACTATTTTGGATCAACGCTGATGGAAAATTCAAAGTTCACAACTAGACAGTGCTCGTTATATGGACACTAAGGACAACAAGGACATTATATACTGACAATGTCACACACCGAAAGAGTCTCATGAAAAAAAATGAAAGTTTTTTTTCCCAATGCAAGTACCACTATATTATATTTTTAAAAAATTTTTTTTTTTTTTTAAACTAATTTTGATTCAACTTCTGTATTTGCGTACTTTTAAATTTTAATCAAATTTTTTTCTTTTATTTTGCAAAAAGAAAAAAAAAGTAGACTCTCTCAATTTTTGAGAGAAAAAAAATATAAAATATCAAAATTATTAGAAATAAATTTGAATGTTTGAAAACGTAAATAAAATCAGGAAAATTATTTTTTAGAATAATTTGGAATAGGAAAAATTAGCGCTTATCTCTCTCCAGGAAGGATTTTTTTTTCTCTAGAGATTTAATTTTAATATCTGTTTTCTTATTTTATTGAAATATATTTTTAAAAAAACTAGCGAAACTTTTTATTTTTGGAAATTTGACAAAATTAAAAAAGTCTTAATTTTTCTTGGTATTTTATAATTGTCATCACAGGGCGATTTGGACAATTGTAATTGAAGTTTTGCGTGCAAAGAAACGAGTGTGTAATTTTATATGTTGACCCTTTGACTTATCCATTGGGTTTTTTTAAAAAAAAAAAAGTAATTCGAGGGTCAACAATAAAGCGTTAGAGTTTCTATTCAACACACGCAACTCTTCAATTTGTTTACATTAATTTTCTACGAAAGATTTCAAATTTAAATCACCTTCTTGCGCGCCACCATAATTCCAACACTAGATCGCATAATATGATACTGTGGTCATTGTTATATTCTTCTAATGAATTATTTTTTCTTTATCTCAATTTTTTTTTTAAATTTTAACATATCTATATATATGTTTGATCACTTATCACTACTCGATAATTTTATAGAGATACAACAATTCACATCAAAATTCAGTAATCTCGCGCTCTACTCCGTAATCCGTTGAGCTTTACGCTGACTCCATAATGACAATGATATATATCCTGTATTTTCGTGAATTAATTATAACTTGACATAATCCTAATGTGAATATGGGAAAATTCGATAAATTTTCGACTAATCGTATTCGTAATAATCGATATTTGTGTGTTGTAGAATAAAAAAACAAACAGATAATAAGAAAAGCAAAGATATATATAGTTATCAGTTTAACAGATTTCTTTTTGGTTAATATTGAAATAGGATAAAATATAGCTGGCTTCGTAGTTGGTTTGTTTTACATAAATAAATAAATATCTGATTAAATATTTATACAGGCAATTCTGAGGATTCTCAAATATTAATGTAATATTGAAGTTTTCTCTCTCTCTCTCTCTCTCTCTCTCTCTCTCTCTCTCTCTCTCTTTTACTCTATGTGCTTGCCTCTGAATATTATGAATTTCATTTTGGGTAACAAAAATATTTTTAAAGAATTTTTAGAAAAATTTCTTTGAGTGGTATTTTTTTTGGAGAAATTTGATGAAAATTTTATTTATATGGAGAGTTGGATATTTTTTATTCAAAAAGAAAAGTTGTTTTTGAAAATAAGTAGATACAAACGTTTTTAGTCAGACTAGTATAAAAAACGAGACCGTCAAGTGGAAAAAGACATTTTAATCATGACAAGTAAATACTTTTTAAGTCGGATAAGTAGAAAAAGACATTTTAAACAGACAAGTAGATAAATACTTTATAATCAGACAAGTAGATAAACAGTTTTTAAGTCAGACAAGTAGAAAAATATGTATTTATCAAAGTAGTAGATAAATACTATTTAATCAAGTAGATAAATAGTTTCTAAATCAGACAAGTAGAAAAATACTTTTTTAGTAAGACAATAAG